TACTACCACTACCACTACTACTACTACTACTACTACTACTACTACTACTACTACTACTACCACCACTACTACTACTACCACTACCACTACTACTACTACCACTTCCACTACTACTACTACTACTCACCAATGCTAGTTCCTCCCGATTCGTGACCATAGAAGCCTCACTATCCCCTCAGGCGCACTAAATTCAACATTACCCAAGCTGATAAATACCTACACCACCCCAGACAAGCATATCCCCCCTCACGTAGTATCGCAGCCGCCAAGCTGAATATGTGTTCAATGCCCTCCTTCCCATACCCTATAACCGTCATAGCATGCACCGTCCCTAAACGCTCGATAACAGCAACTCCACCGTAGTAGTAGTAACCACGTTACGTTCAAAGCCCTCAAGGTCCAGACCATGAGACAGCTTATGTACAGCAGTGTCGCGGGTGAGGTACGTAAAACTAAGAATAGTAGCCTCTACCATTTGAGCACGCCCCAACCCTGTGACGATTCATGAACAATAACCATAATCCAGGATGCCCAAGAAAAAAGGTGAATTTTTTGATAACTCTCTGCCACCATCTGAAAGCCCTTCACGAGAGCTTTCGAATGTTATGGAATATTATGAATATATTCAACTTGCAAAAAAAGGTTATTCAAAATATTACATTTTTCTTTTGACACCCCGTACATGATAATACATTTCTAACACTTCGAACTCGAAATTTTCGAGGGTTCAGGTTCCTAATCAGCGAAGTCACAACAATTTTCCAATTAAGACTATTAAAATAGGAGCATACTATTCAACGACCCCACCACAACAGTGTACCATGAGTGATCTGACAACCCTCTGAGTTGGATCTGCATACTCTGCATGCCTTCTCCATCCAGTATTTGTGGATAGCTGTAAACACCTACACTACTACATATTTGCACGCATGCACAAGACTAACCTACGCCCATCATCCGTCCTCCTACCCACCGCTGCTGCCGCGCATATTTGATAGAAAATATGGAAATTCCGTTCGCCTTGTATTTGATTCGTCACCCTTATCTTTTCCAATAGGTAACTAACATACCACAAATCCTCCAACTCTCACAGCTCACCTCTCCCTACGTTTCTATTCTGGCGCCCTTCAGCCGTAAGTGATCCTTCTCGCCGTCAAACTGCAGCTGTATAAACTTACCAAACCGTGATGAGTTGTCGTTCCGAAGTGTACCTATTTTTCATCGTTATCTTACATACCACTCCTTTCCCATCACATGCGTTCCCAAAGGCCTCTAACAATGGGTTTGACTCCAACACTTGTCTGTTAATATCACTTTTAGAAGCCCTACCACAGGCCGATAGGAACTGCATTACCTACACTTCAACGATCTCTACCAAGACGATCCAAGCGGGGCCAACTCACAAGCTTAGTGGTTTCAGTCTTGCCAGCTCCTGATTCACCACTGATGAGTATAGACTGGGAAACTCCTTGTCGAACCGACGACTCTCCACACATGCCCTGTAGTGCGTGTCATAGTAGAGCACAGGATGAGAGTATTCGACCACCTTATAAGCTCGACGGCCGTAGAGAAGACATGTGAGTATGATGAGGTTCTCAGAATCCAACAGAAACC